TCTGCAGGAGATCTAACCGGTCGACAGAGCATCATGATCACTCCCCCGGGCCCTACCTCCGTCACGGCTGAGCGACTTCGGCCACACTGCTTGAACAGTACTCCAACCTGCCGTCTGGCCTCTGACCAGGTCGTTCCTGGAGGGCCAGTCCGCTGGGTTGGCGTCAGTTGAAACACGATCGATGAAAATGCGGCACCTGAGTTTGAGAGCTAACTTCCAAAATACCGAGATGATCAAGCAGACGTCTGACTTGCTTGAGTAGCCTTTGATCAGGGCTGCCTCAACCGCCTCAGAGTCAATGAGCAAGATCACGTCTGAATTGACTAGACGATCGGCAAACGAGGAGAGAGCTAAAACAGGAGCCATCATCTCGATCGGAATAATCTGCGTGGTCCTCTGGAGCCACTTCTCACTCACGCCCTTTGGGATGACTTCCGAGAACTGTTTAGGTCTCAAAAGCCGGCGATCAAACATCACAGCGCCCACACGATCCGGTAACCTTGACTGGGACTTGTCACGTGGATCGGGGGTAAACCCATCTGTAAAAATGATCACATCAGCCTTCTTCGAGACTTGCTGATCGATCGTCCTGGGTGGGCCCGCGTCGACCAAATCTTTCCACTGGACGAGCGCCTCTCTCAGAGCAGGGTCCAACCCAAAGCTGGATTTCAAGGGGTCCTCATGTACTGTCGTTCAGAGATCACCCTAAGAAAAGCCCTACCAATCTTGCCCCAGAGCTGGGAAGCCCCAAACATGAGTTTGCCTTTCAGCTTCCCTGCCGTCCCAGGGTCCAGCAGATCTGCATCCAGGATCGCCTGAATTTCACTCAGAAGATCTAGTCGCCGATCGGGCTTGATTTCGAGCTGCATCTCGTCCAGGTTGTAGGTGACACCTAAAACGGTCGGCGTCGTGGACAGCTGGAGCTTCTTCTGATCATAGCGCGCCCCAAGCCACGTGTGGACACACTCTGCTGCTAGGCGAGCGCTCTCCACAGAGTCCACGGGCTCAAACCCGTATTTGTCGTCATAAAAGCTAAAAGCAATCAAATTGAACAACTTAACCAAAATCTCGTTGATCGCAGCGGATCTCCTATTATAATTGTAGACCGCAGAAACTAGACCGAAAGAATGCCCTACCATCACAAAGAAAGCTGGCTGATCAGTCTCGGGATTCTTAAGACAAATGACCGAAAACTTTCTCTGATCAGGACGAATTGCCACTTGTCGGTAGGCCTTCCTCTCATCGAGGACCCACCCACCCAGCTTCTTGGAAGGGAACTCCGATCGAAGTTTCCTCAAAGCGGCCACATTAGAATCCGTTGAGGGCAGCTGCAATTTCTCCGAGATCTCGGTGACTTGGTTGATCAAATTGGTTGTGGCACTGTCGCAGCCTCTGACCTTGTTTTTCTGAACCACCTCGAAACGTTGAGTTGGGATCCAGTCTTGGCAGCCCAGAAACACAGAGATCTCATGTTCTGACATCCAGGGGCCTCTGCAGGATCCTTCTCTACAGTCTTCGAGCGTGGCCTCCCAAATTTTCACCAAGTTCTCTGAGACCGGAACCGCAGCCACTCTTGTGATGATCTTTTTTCGGATTGCCCAGGCCCGTGCGAGAGCATGTTCAACTGGAAGAACTTTTTGAGGCTTGTCATAAGGCGGCCAGCGACACGAGCGGCCAATAGTGCCGACGATGGCGAACCCGTTGAGCAACTCCTCCACCAAAGAGATGTCGCAGGATCCCACGGCCTGCAGCATGGCCTCATACAGAGCGACATGGCACACCTGGCCCAGCAGGGCGGGTTCGTCATCTGGCCCGCCGCGCAGGAGCCTGCGAAGATCAGGGTCTGGCTGAGCCGCAATGCGAGCAAGGGAGACCGGCAGCAGGCGATGCGCCTCAGATTCCCAAAAACGAAGAGCTTCTAGGCGTGTGGCCACAGTGGCCGGCAGATCAGCGGCCAGGCGGTCGATCGCCGCAGCCAGTCCAGGATCCACCTCTGCTGGAACGGAGAAAGGGTGAACGACCTCGAGAGCCCAGCGAATAGCTTGACCTGGCTCGAGCTCTATCTCCAGAAGTGGTTTCTGCGCTCCGCGCTTGAGCTGGTAGCCTGCTTGGAGGGCACGCTGAGCAGTTGCCGCTTGGCGGTGGCCCGCCCACATCTTCCCTGAGCCAAGAGCCCGCTTCCGATCGGAGGCTGGCGTGCACAGCTCAAAGGAGGGCTGGAAGTGATCCAACTGTTGGAGCCATACTTGTTGAACACCAAGTGCCAGAGTCGCACACAAAGCAAAGGGATATTCCTGAGCCAGTTTAGTGCGATAGACCACCTTGTTGCGCTTGGGATCCCAAACCTTGCCCTTGAGGCGCACGTGAGCATGACCACCTTGACAGGTCTGTTGGAGGTTGCAGAGGAACTCTGATGAGACCCGGATCCGGGTGGGCTTCACTGAAGGAGCTCCAAAAACACATTGATCCAAGTCCATGTCCAAAGTGCGTGCCAACCGAGCCAGCTGCTGCATCGGCGGTGTGACCCAGATGAGGCTGAGCAGCGGGTTCTCAATGGAGAAATCACCACCATCGTTGAAGACGACCAGCGCGAGTTCCACCGAGCGGTGCAGAAAAGCATTGCCCAAGAAGACCAAAGCCGCATTGTCTGGAGACAAAGAAGGGAGCCCCATGGGCGCTGCAGCCGACCGCAGCGGTGGAGGCCCGTTGTCCAGTTTGCGAGCGGAACTGAAAGTGTTGCACGGAGTCCCGAAATGAACGAAGAACAACACACCAGCATAGGCGCAGGCCATGACATGGTCCCAGAGGTGAACATCGAGCACATCGCCCAGAACAGGTACCCAGTCGGAGAGCTCCACGTCCAGAGGCGGCAGAACAGCCATGTCCAAACGATGAACTTCTTGTGTCAACCGAGCGGTTCCAGCGAAAACCTCTAAGAAAAACCGGCCGTGCGCCAGCAGCTGGCGGGTGTCCCGAGGGACCTCCGGCCACGAGTTCCATGGTCTTGTGCACCGTAGCGGCGACTGAGCAGCCGCCGGAACCCCTTCAAACTCCCCCGGGGGCGGGGTCATGACCTCCCGAGGGGGTGGTGACGAGTTTCAGTGGTTCCCGTGCCAAGGGTGGCCTTGGCCACACTCGACACAGGCGTGCTTGCGCTTGCACTGATCACCAAACCGACATCCACTAGAACAGTTGTAGAACGGGCATCGCCGAGGGCCGGAATACTTGAAGGAGTTGACCTTGGTCCATTCTTCGGCCGGGATGCGAGCGTCCCGTGAAGGCTTCGCCCCCGTAGCGGTCTTCTCTTTGCGGGACGAGGCGGAGCCGCCCTGCGAGGCCTTCAAGGCCTTCAACTGTTCATTGGCACGTTCACGGCGCGCCTTGTTCTTGCGAGCTTTAGCTGTTGGAGCTGGCGGAGTCGACGATCGCGATCTCTTGGCGCCCTGACCTCTCGGAGGTGTTGTCGGCAGAGAGGACGAGTGACCTGCTTGCTTGAACTTATCAAGCTCAGCACTGGAGCGAGCGTCATTCCACAATTGCTTGTGATTCTTCAGAACCTCGAGCAAGGCGTCTGAGAAAGTCTGGTAGGTCTGCTTGTGATCAGAATTCAGGCGGTAGACCTTCTTCCTGATCAGGGTGTCCGCCGAGAGAAGCAACGCCAAGCCACGATTCTCATGGCGCCACTCCTCCAAATCAGCCAGGTACTGCAACGGGCCAGCCTTGTAGGAGAACTCACAAATGTTGAGGTATTCGAGAGCCACAAAGAAAGCGTGGAGCTTGTCCATGACCTGGGACTCGGAGGCCGCATGAGCTGGCTGATCAACCTGGACGACTTTGAGCAGATCCTCAGCATTCTTACTGAGGCCAGACTTCTGAGCGATCGACTCATTGCGAGTGCGCATCTCGCACACTTCATAGAAGTTGACTGCACCGTGAACAAGGAAATCCCGTTGGAGTCTTTCCACGAACTTGCGGTGAGGTTCACGATGATGGGGCAAAACGACGTCTGGGTGTCGAGCGATGAACTGCACCCTGAACTCAGCATGATCCTCACCCGGAATTTCCGGCACTTTGGATGGATCCTCCTCCATCTTGGCTCGCCGAGCGGCAAAGTGATCCTGCATGGTTGAGCAAGTCTTCCAAACCGCGGCCAGGGTGGCCAAAGCGAGTTCCTGAGCAGGTGGATCCGGGCCTAAGTGTGAGGGATCAGGAATCAGAGCTTTGAGGGTGGTCTTGACAGCAGCGATCGTGTCGCCTAACATGGCAAAGGTCTCCACTGTCAAGAGCTTGGAATCTGCGACTCTCTTGCACAAGTCTTCTGGCACGCGTTGGCGGCCGAAGATCTGTCTCAGTGGCAGATCTGGCGTGTGAGCAGCATCAGTGTAAACGGTCCGATCGACCATGTTCCCGGTCGAGAAAACAGGACTGAGCACAGAGAGCTGCCACGATCACACCCCTTCCGGACTTAAATCTGAAAAACACATGAATGAACTTGGAAATTGGCTATGCTGGCAAAAACGTGCGGTGAGCTCTTTCTTTTCAGCGAGCATGCAAAAATATGTTGATCAGCCTTGCAACTCATCGACCACTCCGGGCCGAGCTTTCAAACAAGCCTTGCAGAGCACACTCACATCGGGCAGGATCGTGCCCATAGAGTTGCAGTCGGCAAGGTCCAGCTTGTTACAAGCCGT